GGTCTGTTTCTTAAAATTAAATGAGAATAATACGATGGAACAACAACTCAGCAAGGAGTCTAGAAGATTTGAATAACTCCGCGGAGGGGACCCATGTGTTGGGGAGGATTCCATCCTTCTCGATGTTGTGGAATAATTTCTGCAGGATAGGCATCAGTTCTTCTTTGTAGGTGTGGTAAAATTTGGGTGTGAAACCATCTGGTCCAGGACTTTTTAGGAAGGTTTTTTATTGCTGTTTCAATTTCAGTACTTGATATTGATTGGTCTGTTCAGGAATTCTGTTTCTTCCTGGTTGAGCCTAGGAAGGCTTTGTGTTTCTAAGAAATTATCCATTTCCTTCACATTTTCCAGTTTGTGTGCATAGAGGTTTTTATAGTATTCATAAATTATATCTTGTATCTCCGTGGCATCAGTTGTAATTTCTCCTTTATTGTTCCTGATGGAGCTTATTAGAGATTTTTCTTTTCTGCTTTTTGTTAGTCTAGCCAATGGTGTGTCAATTTTGTTTATTTTTTCAAAGAACCAACTTTTTGTTTTATTAACCTTCCATATAGTTTCCCTGTTATCAATTTCGTTTAGTTCTGATTTGATCTTAATGATTTCCCTTCTTCTGCTGGGTTTGGGGTTGGTCTGTTCTTCTTTTTCCATCTCTTTGAGATGATTCATTAGGTTGTCTCTTTGTGATCTTTTCGAGTTTTGGATATAGGCATTTATGGAAATAAACTTTCCTCTCAGGACTGCTTTAGCTGTGTCCCACAGGTTTTGGTAACTTGTGTCACCTTTGTCATTTAGTTCAAAGAATCTTTTGATTTCCATCTTGATTTCCTCGTTTATGAAGTGCTCATTCAGCAGAAGGTTGTTTAGTTTCCATGACTTTGTGTAGAAGTGAGAACTCCTGTTAGGATTGATTTCTACATTAATTCCACTGTGGTCTGAAAAGATACATGGTATAATTTCTATTATTTTAAATGTTTGAGGTGTGCTTTGTGTCCTAGGATATGGTCAATCTTAGAGAATGAGCCATGAGCTGATGAGAAGAACGTATAGTCAGTGGTTTTGGGGTAGAATGCCCTGCAAATGTCAGTCAGGCCCATTTGTTCTAGAGTTCTGTTTAAGTCCATTATTTCTTTGTTGATTTTCTGTTTAGAGGATCTGTCCTGTGCTGTCAGTGGGGTGTTAAAGTCTCCGTCTATTATTGTTGTGGGAATGTGTACAGCTAGTGTTACAGCTCTTGTTAACCGCTCTTAATCGTTTGACTGGGTAAAGAACCAAGCGGCACACGAAGAGTTGGAGAACAGCCTTTATTCTTCTACAGAAGGCTCAGCACACCTTACAGCTCTCTTGAAGTCTTCCGATCTTCTGCCTCTTCTGCCCCCCTTCTTTGTTCTCCTCCTGCTTTTATACCCTTGTTAGGGCTCAGAAAACATCCAACCAACTACAGGCTTTAACATCCAGTGAACATCAAGCTTTAACATCCAATCAAAAACAGTGGGATTCAAAAATTATCCAATCAGGATCACACAAGTAGCGTGGTGGAAAAAGGCAGCAGCATGCGGCCGGTGGCACTTGGAGCCCTGGGCGGCTCTCTGCCGCGGCGCCCGGCCCCAGCAGCGTGCCCTCCAACTGGCCATGCGCCCTGCTGGCCCACGGAGATTCGGAGCGACGGGGAGGCGGCCACGTCCCGGCAAAGGTAAAGAGGTGGAGAACAATATTTCAAGCAAACAGAAGCCAGAAGAAAACTGGCGTGGTGGTGCTGATTACAGATAACTTAGTTTTTAAATCAACAAAAGTAATAAAAGACAAAGAAGGTCACTATATAATGGTGAAGGGTACAGTTCAACAAGAGGACATAACAATTCTAAATATATATGCACCCAACCTTGGTGCACCCAGATTCATAAAGCAAACTCTACTTGATCTAAACCAATGGATAAACACCACCACCATAATGATACAGAAAATGTTGGACGCCGGGACGTGGCCGCCTCCCCGTCGCTCTGAATCTCCGTGGGCCAGCAGGGCGCATGGCCAGTTGGAGGGCACGCTGCTGGGGCCGGGCGCCGCGGCAGAGAGCCGCCCAGGGCTCCAAGTGCCACCGGCCGCATGCTGCTGCCTTTTTCCACCACGCTACTTGTGTGATCCTGATTGGATAATTTTTGAATCCCACTGTTTTTGATTGGATGTTAAAGCTTGATGTTCACTGGATGTTAAAGCCTGTAGTTGGCTGGATGCTTTCTGAGCCCTAACAAGGGTATAAAAGCAGGAGGAGAACAAAGAAGGGGGGCAGAAGAGGCAGAAGATCGGAAGACTTCAAGAGAGCTGTAAGGTGTGCTGAGCCTTCTGTAGAAGAATAAAGGCTGTTCTCCAACTCTTCGTGTGCCGCTTGGTTCTTTACCCGGTCAAACGATTAAGAGCGTCCTTGCAGGTTAGATATGTTTCCTGAAGGCAGTAGATACTTGGCTTGTGTTTTTTTTTTTATCCATTTGGCCAGCCTATCTCTCTTGAGTGGTGAGTTCAAGCCATTCACATTTATTGAGATAACTGATAGGTGGGGCAGATTTCTGTTTATTATGTTGGGTTGAACTTTGTTGCTTTGTTTTCTTTCTTGAGCCATTGTAGAGTCTGGGCTTTCATCTTTAGCTTTGAGTAGATTTACATTCGTGAGTGTTTATTATGCTGATCCGTGGGTAACACTGTTTTGAGTGCTTCTTGAAGGGCTGGTCTTGGTGAATTCCCTCAGTTTTTGCTTATCTGAGAATGTCTTAATTTCTCCTTCATATAGAAAACTTAGTTTTGCAGGGAACAAGATTCTAGGCTGGGCATTGTTCTGTTTCCGAAGAGTGAGAATGGGGCCCCAGTCTCTCCTTGCTTGTAAAGTTTCAATAGAGAAGTCTGGCGTTATTCGGATTGGCTTTCCTTTGTATGTTATTTGCTTCTTTCATCTTACAGCTCTTAGAAGGGCCTCTTAAGGTGATATTTTGGTCAGTCTGATGACTGCATGTTGTGACATCTTCCTGTTTGCATTGAATCTCCCAGGGGTCCTCTGAGCTTCTTGAACTTGTATATCGAGATTTTTAGCAAGGCCTGGGAAATTTTCCTCTATTATATCTTCAAATAGCTTGTCCAACCCTTGAGTGTTGTCTTCTTCCCCTTCTGGTAACCCTTTGACCCTCACATTAGGTTTCTTCACATAATTCTACATCTCTTGTAGGCTTTGCTCTTTTCTCTTGTTTCTCTGCTCTATCTCTGTGACTGATTTATTTACTTGAAAGGTGTTATCTTCAATCTCTGAGATTCTTTCTTCTGTTTGATCTACCCTGTTGTTGAGGCTTTCCACTGTGTTTTGTAGTTCCCTGAATTGATTCTTCATTTCCAGGAGTTTGGTTAAACTTTTCTTAATTGTATCAATTTCTTTAGTGAATTTTTTGTTCCAGGTCCTGGAGTCTTTGTGTTTTCTTTGTGTTGGTTATCCAGTTGTTCTTGAAGGTTGTTGAATTTTCTTACGATCCACATTCAAAATTCTTCTTCTGTCATTTTGGTGGCCTGATTTTGGTTGGTGTCTGTTTCTAAGGGGCTGGTGTTCCTCTTTGGGGGTGTGGTTTCCATTTGGTTCTTCATATTTCCAAAGTTCCTTCGCTGATTTCTTCTCATCTGGATCAGTTGTTGTTTCTTTCCTTTAGGTTTTTGTTTGGGTATTCACATGCCTTGTTTAGTCTCTGAGCCGGTAGGTGGTGTTTGTGGGTGAGATTTGACCACTCCCTGTATGATGAGTCAGTAGGTGTTGTGAAAAGGGTGTGCAGGATGCCGTCCCTGTCAGTAGATGGTGCTTGCTTGGAGGAGCAGGCTATACTGTTGTTTTTGTGTCCTGTAACCAGCTCTTGTTCCTATAGAGAGGCACTCTAGTGCCTCAGGTGGTCGATGGGGCCCTGGGACTTCCAGGTGTGTCCTTTTCTCTCCCTCAGTGAGGGCTGGTCTGGGAATGAGTCTTGGTGGAGCTGGGTTGGGTCAGCCTGCCCTCAGGCACCACCAATGCCGTTAGCAGGGGTCAAAGTTCTGTTCTCTGCTTCCAGGAAAAACTGTCAGGGAGAGGCTGGAATGGCCCCCTTCAGTCAGAGAGTCTGCGTGTGGGGAGGGGCTGTCTGAGACATGCAGGCTGGAGCGGGCCTCACTCCTTTCCACCGTCCCCAACTCTGCAGCTACTCCTAGGCCTCTGCCAGCAGGCCAGACCCCACACCACCGGGTCTCCTCTGGCTGTGATGCCGGCGGGGAGGTTCCCTGTGCAGGAACACCGCCTGGGCTGGGCTGGGCTGGGCTGGGCTGGGCGCAGGACCTCCATTTGGGATGAGGGCTGCAGTCAAGGACGCTCATCTGCCCCTGAAGGCGCACACACCTCAGTAGGCTCGTTCAGATATCTGTTCTATGCCCCGGGCAATGTGAGACCTGGGTGCACGGGATCTCGTCTGCAGGTCTGACCTCTGGATCCTGGAGTTCAATCCCTAACCCCACCAGGGAGAGGAGTGCCAGTCCCACTTCACCCACGGGGAGCCCATGCTGTGTCTGTGTCTCTCAGCCTCAGGATCTGCCCTGTTCTCTGTGCCAGCAGCACTTGGGAGGGCTGGCGGGTAGGGAGCTCACCATCTGAGTTCCCCTCAGTCAGCTGTAGGGCCCCAAAAGGGAAGGTCCTGTTCCCTGGAGATGCCTCTGGCTGGTGGCTGTATTGTCTCTCTCGGCAGCCACAGATAGGGTGGGGGAGGGGAGAATGAGGCAATATGGCGCCTGCCACACAGCTCAGATCTGTGCACGCGGAGGTGCCCGAGGGAGTTGGGAGCCTGGTGCCGCGTCCGCTACTGGCTTACCGCCCGGCCGTCTCTGGGCTAGTGTCCGCAGGTCTCTCCACCCGCTGGGGAGCCACCAGCAATAGCAATCTGAGATGCAAGAGGGGAAAGTTAGCCGCTTCACCTACCCTTGCTGCTGGTCTCCAGGCTGCTCCGGAGGTCTCTGCTTCTAGTTCTCCTCCGCAACCTCCTCCCGTGGAGTCTCCTGTGGTCTCAGGTACCCCTCCTTCCTACCCTCATCCGTTGTATGCTTGTCTTCTTGTTTCTTTCTTCTGATTTCTCCTAGAATCTGTGTTTTCTGCAGAGACACCTGTCTGGTGGTGTTTCTCGTCCACCATCTTGATTAATCTCCGTATATAATGCTCTTGAAATACTATAATTATATAATCTGAAGAAAGACTCCAGTTGCCAGGGGTTAATTTAGGGGTGGGGAAAGAGGAGTGGGTATTGCTATAAAGGGGCAGAACAAGGGTATCTTGTGATAGTACAGTACCTTGTCTGGATTGTGGTAGTACTTACATGAAGCTACCTATGTGGTAAAATTATGTATAGAACCACACACGCATACATAATGAGTGAGTGCCTAACTAGTAAAATGTGAATAAACTTTGGATTGCACCAATACCAGTTTCCTCGTTTGATACTGTACTATAGTTATATAAGATGTTACATATGGGGGAGGCTGGGTGAAGGGTACATGGAACCTTCCTGTACATTTCTTTGCAATCTCCTATGAGTCTACATTTTCTAAATAAAAAGTTTTTAAAAATGTGTGTGCCTTCTATGTTTCAGGTATAAAACCTTGTTCCTGGGTTTTTTATGGCTGTTAACAAACATGGTCTCTGCTCATCAACTAATGGTCTTGGTTCTTGTAGTAGGAAAACATGTTAAAGAATTAATGATGAAGGCCGGGCATGGTGGCTCACGCCTGTAATCCTAGCACTCTGGGAGGCCGAGGTGGGTGGATTGCTCGAGGTCAGGAGTTCAAAACCAGCCTGAGCAAGACCCCCTCCCTGCCCCCGCCTCTACTAAAAATAGAAAGAAATTAATTGGCCAACTAAAAATATGTATGTATGAAAAATTAGCCAAGCAACAAAGCAAGACTCTGTCTCAAAAAAAAAAAAAAAAAAAAAAAAAGAATTAATGGCGAGAATTATGAAACAGAAAGTATGGTGTCCTGTATAGCAAGAAGATTGAGTCTAGGGAATCAATGAAGGATCCATTTAAAATGAAGACTGGAAGGGTGAGGAGGCATCAGCTATAGGAAAAGGTATAGGAAGAGCATTCCAGCAGGGGGAGCTGTACATAGGCAGCTTAAAGGGCCAGCACCGTTAAATAAAATACTGCTTTTTGTGGAGGAGAGAAACTCAAAAAGAGTTGACAGGATTAGTAGAGTTGAAGAGTAATGATGATAATAGTCTGCTAATAGCATTATTCCATACGTAGGTTGATTCTGCCTTACCCTTGGATGTCCTAACCTATGAAGAGAAGACCTTGTCAGCCATCTTGAGAATATGTAGCAGGTATGACAGCCAATGGAACGTTTCTAGTATAACAGGACAGAGAGACTGGTGGAGAAATAGGACAAAAATGCTCTCTTTAGGGAATAAGAATAATTTCATCATTGCGAACTCTTAGCAGCTTTTGGGAGTTTAAACTAGAGTGAATATGAACATTCCACCAGAACCTTAAACTCTAGAGAGAGCAAAACTTATGACTTGGTTACAACTGTGGGGTTTCCCAATTGATGGTTGTAGTTGTAAAATCAGAAATGTATATTTTAGAAACATTCTTAGAATGTATATTTTAGAAACATTTTTTTTTCTCTGCCTATGACACACACTGCATTTTCTTGATCTTTCTGCAGCGGTCTTGTCAAATTGTGGAGTTCTTTGACCCTATTAGGATCCTACAAAGGCAAAAAATGTGCTTTCAGAGTGATTCAGGTAAAGATAATTTCTTCACATATTTATACAAGACTGAGTCAGTGGATCAATTGTTTCTTTCTTTCTTTTTTTTGAGACAGAGTCTCACTTTGTTGCCCAGGTTAGAGTGAGTGCTGTGGCGTCAGCCTAGCTCACAGCAACCTCAAACTCCTGGGCTCAAGCAATCCTTCTGCCTCAGCCTCCTGACTAGCTGGGACTACAGGCATGCGTCACCATGCCCGGCTAATTTTTTCTCTATATATTAGTTGGCCAATTAATTTCTTTCTATTTATGGTAGAGATGAGGTCTCGCTCTTGCTCAGGCTGGTTTCGAACTCCTGACCTTGAGCAGTCTGCCCGCCTCGGCCTCCCAGAATTGTTTCTTAATATAAGTGTCTCATTTTTGTGCTCGCCTAAGTGTAGTATTATTAATATTATCTAGCTACGGAAAAAAAAATCCAGGATTTGATTGTTTCCAAAAATGTGAGACAAAGCACTTAGATTTTAGGTTCTATGGGGGAGATGTTTTGGTATAAAACTTGCAACTCTTATGGTAAAGACTTAACTTTTAGTGCTTAATGCCAAATGTTTTATGTATAGGATGCTCTTTCTGAGCTTATGCCTACTTATTTAAGGCTTCCTCCAGGGTGATTTTTATAATGCTACTGTGTCAGCTTTGCTTACCCTGTAAAACTTGGTATATTTCCTTATTGCCTTGTATTTTAGTGCAATTTTCTCCCGATATTGTCTTAACATTTTTTTTTTCTCTTGTAGGTTTCACCATTTCTCCTTGCATTATCTGGTAATAGTAGGGAACTAGTATTGGATTGAATAGCCTTCAATTTCAGGAACATTTCTCCGCTCTCTAAAGTATGTTTTGATGCATGCATGATGTTTGAAGATTGAAGCAGGCTAAAAGCCTCGTTGATGAAATTTGAGAGTGCTGAAGATGTTCCCAATAATTGCCAGCCATCGCCTTTGTTGGGGTGGGCTTCAGAGGAGAGTCTGCCTGAATCCGCCAGTGCTGAACAGGCAGCACTTTAGGCATATGCACATTAGAATTGGAGACCGGGCTGAACTTAGCAGGGCCTTCACACAGAGGGATGTGGCTACCTTCTCAGAATTAACAGGGGATGTCAATCCTTTGCATTTAAGTGAAGATTTTGCAAAACACACCAAGTTTGGAAAGACAATTGTACATGGAGTTTTGATCAATGGACTCATCTCAGCTCTCCTGGGTACTAAAATGCCGGGACCAGGCTGTGTATTTCTTTCCCAGGAAATTAACTTTCCAGCCCCTTTATATATTGGAGAAGTTGTTTTAGCTTCTGCAGAAGTGAAAAAGTTGAAGCGGTTCATTGCTGTTATTGCAGTGTCATGTTCTGTAATAGAAAGTAAAAAGACTGTTATGGAAGGCTGGGTTAAAGTTATGGTCCCAGAAATTCCCAAATCCTGAGATATGTGATTAAAGATGCAAGTTCAAATACCAATGCTGTTGTTACTCAAGAGTAGCTGGGGAATCGGAGATTGCTGCTCTTCACTAAGGAATGTCTGATAGGCCCAGAAGCCTGTTATGGGAGGGGAGCAGGTATAGGGGCATTCACATGTCCCCTCTTTAATATGACCTTATGTTTCACATAGACTTCAATATATGTGGGATTTCATCATCTGTCTAGGTTTGTTTAAATTCAACGAGTATTGGGGAGGTTATTTATCTAAAGCAGGCGTCCTCAAACTACGGCCTGCGGGCCACATGTAGGTGTTTTTGCCCTTTGTTTTTTTTTACTTCAAAATAAGATATGTTCAGTGTGTATAGGAATTTGTTCACAGTTTTTTTTTAAACTATAGTCTGGCCCTCCAGCGGTCTGAGGGACAGTGAACTGCCCCCCTGTTTAAAAAGTTTGAGGACCCCTGATCTAAAGGCTCTACTTTTGGGATTTCGAATCTAGATAAATATGCACTTGGGTAACAAAAACCTACCTATATTTGTGTAGAGTCAGTTTTAATGACTTGATCTAGCGTTTAATTATTGAAGACAACAATAGAAGTTGGGTCATCTTTGAAGAGCAAGGATGCTGTTTTCATGGGCCTCAGAACGGCAGCATGTGCAGGCTCAGATCCACCTAAAGAAGAGTCTTTACAGTGAATCGCTAGACATACTGAAAATATATGTAACTTCAAAACAAAATAGGGAACTTGAGGCACAGTATATGAACTGGAAGCCAACCCTGCTTGTTCCTGTAGAGCTCATTCTCTGGGACTTAACAGCAGTCTTAAATTGTGGGTCCATAAATGGGGTGTGATGTAATAAATAATAGCTACCATTTTTTTCAATGCCTGATAAACTGGTTTTCTACATTAACTGTTCCAACTTTGTGAAGTTAATGTCCTGTTTTATAAGTGAGGAAACAGACATGCTGTGTGACTTGCCTGTCAACGGACAAAAAAGCCAAATTTTGTAAAATAATTTTAAAGAGATTTACTTTGAGCCAAATTTGAGGACCATGACCCAGAGCCACGTGAAGAAGCCTTGAGCAAGTGGACTCTGTGGCTGGGTTATAGTTTAGTTTTCTACATTTTAGGGAGATAGGGGTTACAGGTGAAATCATCAATCAGTACATGGGAGGCATATGTTGGTTTAGCCTGAAAAGGTGGGCCATCTTGAAGACAGGGCTTACACGTTATTGGTAGGTTTGAAGATTCTTTGGCTTGTAATTGGTTAAAGACATGAAGCTTTGTTTTAAGGCTTGGAATGTTTTAACATAGGAGCTGTTTATTGGAGATGAGCCACCAGACATATATTTGTTGTATAAATTTGAGGACCTGTAGGTTTGTCTTGCATGCCGTTAGGCCTGTTAATGGGTTACAGAGGATGTCTCCAAGAAGGGAGGGGCATGATGGAGTATGTCTGACCTGCCTCCTCCTGGCAGGCAGTTTAGTTTAGGATATTCTTTTGGCCATGAGGGGGTCTGCTCAGTCAGCCGGTGGGGGGTGAGCCTTAAAATTTTATTTTAGTTCACATACCCAAGTTTGTACATCTAACATGCAGTGCAGCTGGGATTCAAACTTGGGCATGCCTGGCTTTTTCTATCACCCTGTAGCTTCTGTGTTCCTTTAGGGGCCAAGGGAAAATTTCCCTTTCTGCTCTCTGAATGTTTTTGGAAAAATTAACTGACAAAAGGCAAATTAATTGGAGAAAAAGCATACAAATTTATTAATGTGCACACAAGGTAGAACCACAGAGTGATTACTCCCAAGCTATTAATGGGGTTTAGAAGCTTACATACCATCTTGAGATTACAGAAAGAATGGGGGCTTGGATTGAGGTTATAAACGGGGAAGGTGAGGCCTGGCTAGCAAAGGTGGCCGTGTTACATAAATGAAACCCCACAGCTAGCAGCCCTCAAAGAGAATAGATGTTAAATGTTTCTTTCAGACTTTAAAGGTGTCAGACTCGGTTAATCTTCCCTAGATCAGAAAAGGGAGGGCCTGGCTACATAATGCAAATTCTCTACAGATGCAAATCTTTCCCCCAAAAGATAGCTTTACCGGCTACTTCTGTTTGCTGGCTCTCTGACCGGCCATCTCAAAATATGTCAAGGAAAGAAAGCTATTTAGGGGTGAAATATTTTTATTTCCTTCATTCCCACTACTGGAACTGGAGCACTGTCAGTTTCTATAATAGCATCTTGTTATGTGGCATTAAAGTAATTAGAATCATTCTATAGAAATCCTTTTACATTCAGAATGTTCTAGGTCTTTACTGTTAGAGTTGTAGGATTTTCCTGTATACAATTAGTTGATGGCTTCCACTCATGCACATCACCTACCCTTTTTCTAAGTTGACAGTTTGATTATTTGTCTTCAGTGCAGAATTGCTAAAAGGCTTAGTCTAAATATAAAAAGTTATATGTGGGCCAAGTATGGGGTTGGGGAGGGATGTCAGATCTGGCTGATAGCTGATTTATACTGTGTAACTTCCAAAAGTAGCTTCTCAATGTGAGCATTTCCACGTTTGTTATGCTCCCTAAGAGTCATGGTCTTTGATGTCTATAAATCAGTAAGAAGTTGGGGGGGGGGCGCAGTGGCTCACGCCTGTAATCCTAGCACTCTGGGAGGCCAAGGTGGGTGGATCGTTTGAGCTCAGGAGTTTGAAACCAGCCTGAGCAAGAGTGAGACCCCATCTCTACTAAAAATAGAAAGAAATTAATTGGCCAACTAAAAATATGTATGTATGAAAAATTAGCCAAGCATGGTGGCGCATGCCTGTAGTCCCAGCTACTTGGGAGGCTGAGGCAGGAGGATTGCTTGAGCCCAGGAGTTTGAGGTTGCTGTGAGCTAGGCTGACGCCACGGCACTCTAGACCAGGCAATAGAGTGAGACTCTGTTTCAAAAAAAAAAGAAGTTGGAACAGAAAAGTAGGTAAGAAGTTATCAATACTTCTCTTTGGATGATGACTTGTCGTTTTTACCCAAAGCCAAGATTTCAAACCACTCATGCTGTGTTAAACCTGACCGTTTGGCTTTCTCATTTTGAGTCCTACGCAGACTGCTCAAGAGTGACTCTAAAGGCCGGGCGCTGTGGCTCACGCCTGTAATCCTAGCTCTTGGGAGGCCGAGGCGGGCGGATTGCTCAAGGTCAGGAGTTCAAAACCAGCCTGAGCAAGAGCGAGACCCCGTCTCTACTATAAATAGAAAGAAATTAATTGGCCAACTGATATATATATAAAAAATTAGCCGGGCATGGTGGCGCATGCCTGTAGTCCCAGCTACCTGGGAGGCTGAGGCAGAAGGATCACTCGAGCCCAGGAGTTTGAGGTTGCTGTGAGCTAGGCTGACGCCACGGCACTCACTCTAGCCTGGACAACAAAGCGAGACTCTGTCTCAAAAAAAAAAAAAAAAAAAAAAAAAAGAGTGACTCTAATGAAAGCTTGGGTGACCCTCAAATCAGAAAATCCCAGATAATTGAGAGGGGGCCTTGACTATTCCAGGTCATATGTGGGAGTACAAAAGTAATGACTAAAATAGGCCAAATTGTCCAGGCACTTTCCACACAGGGGCATTATAAGACTGCAATTTATGTTATGTTTGATTGCCACAGAGAGAAATACTCACTTTAAGCACTTTCAGCCTAATGTACTGGAAAATTGCTTAACAGATATATTCTATTAGAAGCATTTCCATATTGGTAAAATGCCACTCATTTCTTTTTCTGAGCAGCAAATCTCGAGTAGCAGTGGGGAGAATGCCCTGCCACAGCCACCATTTGTCTTGCACACCTGATGTGTGTACTCATCGAGAAAAATTGCTAAATGCATACTCCGATGCCTCCTAGGCAACCACAGGTTTTCATTTTGTGCTGCATTATTAGTCATTTTTCTTTTATGTTTTTAGAGTATGACTTAGAGACCAATTTACTTCCAAAGAAAATTGCTATTAAATTACATCTATTAAGTTTTTATATCAAAACATTTTCTGCCAAGAGATGACTGTCACTGACCGACTGTGCCTCTGAATGCCTCCCACATCGACATGCTTTACTGTCTAGCGCTGTCTGAGGAGGGTGGGTGTGTTGCCGAATTAATCTTGGGCCACACTTAAGTATCTCCAGGGTCGCAAATGTTTGCGACCTTTGTTCTTTGTTCTTATCCTATGTCCTTTGTTCTTATCTATGTCCTTTGTTCTTATCTTTGCTTTTATTTTGAGTTACCAACACAACAAAGACAAGAATTCTCAGCGTCTTCAGAGAAATTTTGAGTTGGAATTAGAAGAAACCATTTAAATTCAAAATCATAAGAAACCCAAAACTAATGTTAACACTACATAAATAGGATACGATTAATAGGGGCACCAACAAACAGTTAATTTCTAAGGTAGTTCTCAGCTATAAAGCAGTTCAAATGACCTTCTTACAAACCCTGAGTGACATTCCCCTGTGATGCGATGGAAAATACCAACATGTGAGAGAAATAAGAGTGATTGTGAGTTGACTTGTGTTGTTTTACATCCAGATCATGAATATCTAAAGAAATCAAATCATTTTGAGTTGAGAGGCCATGCTGCTTAGGAAACACTGAGTTTTTCACAAGCTTTATGATTTTATTATTGTTATTTTTTTTTTTTTTTTGAGACAGAGTCTCGCTTTGTTGCCAGGCTAGAGTGAGTGCCGTGGTGTCAGCCCAGCTCACAGCAACCTCAATCTCCTGGGCTCAAGTGATCCTCCTGCCTCAGCCTCCCAAGTAGCTGGGACTACAGGCATGTGCCACCATGCCTGGCTAATTTTTTTTCTCTATATATTAGTTGACCAATTAATTTCTTTTTATTTATAGTAGAGACGGGGTCTCGCTCTTGCTCAGGCTAGTGTGGAACTCCCGACCTTAAGCAATCCGCCCGCCTCGGCCTCCCAGAGAGCTAGGATTACAGGCGTGAGCCACCGCGCCAGGCCTATGATTTGATTTTGTAGAGCAGTTGCCAGGCATAGAAGCACTCTCACTGGAACTCATTATTTTCAGTCAATCTGGCCAAACATCATCAAGTTGTTAGATAAACAACCTGTGGCCATCTAAACATTTGGCAACATAGGAAATATAATTTTTTTTTCCTGCTAGCCCTGAGTAGTTAGGTAGGTGGCAGACGGTGAGGTTCCCTCATTGCTTGTTAGCTTTGGGGAGCCTGAGATTGTGGAAGCAAAGCTGATTTGATATAGATCAGCTCTGGCCTAGGGAGAGTTTCCCTGCATTCAGCTTGAGTCATTTCAAAAGCCAAATGGGTATTGAGGCTATCTTGGGGTGTGGGGCCCAGTTCCCAGTGGACCATGGGATCCAAGTTAAGTCCAGGATCTTCAGGGGACCACTGACAAGACACTGATTTGGGTAGATAAAAATAAATTATGAGGCTCACCATAGCATTTATTCTAAGATGCTTGCTTCTGGGGAGAATGTCAAGAGAAAGGGAAAGCTAAACTGAGAGTTTGTCCTTGGCTTGATTCCATCAAAACCTGATTTCTCGCTTTCAGTTTCCTTTTCCTAGTAAGGAAGACTAGACAAGGTTGTTATTTTATGACATTTGCAAGTCTGATCTTTAATTCTTATTCCTTTTCAGTTCCCTTCCTTTCCAGAGAGAAAAGTACTTAAATGCCTTTCAGTAGAAAAACTTCTCAGGCCAGGCGTGGTGGCTTACGCCTGCAATCCTAGCACTCTGGGAGGCCGAGGTGGGAGGATTGCTCGAAGGTCAGGAGTTCGAAACCAGCCTGAGCAAGAGCGATACCCCATCTCTACTAAAAATAGAAGGAAATTAATTGGCCAACTAAAAAATGTATAGAAAAAATTAGCTGGGCATGGTGGCACATGCCTGTAGTCCCAGCTACTTGGGAGCCTGAGGCAGGAGGATTGCTTGACCTCGGGAGTTTGAGATTTGCTGTGAGCTAGGCTGACGCCATGGCACTCTAGCCCAGGCAACAGAGTGAGACTCTGTCTCAGAACAAAACAAAACCCAAAACTTTTCTCTCCCTATATGATTCTTTTGCTGATATCCTTTATAATGAAAGAGCTAATACTTAACTGTGCATGATCTCTGTCTTCCAGGTTATTGCCTACATTAGTGCATTTAGTCCTTCCAATAATCCCGAGGGGTGGAGGCTATCATCTTCATTCTTCAGATGAGAAAGCTGAAGCAAAGAGAGGTTAGGCTGCCAGTGAGCTGTGGAGCCGGGTGTGAACCCAAGAAGTCACCTTGGAGCTTGAGGCTCTTAATCACAACCAACAATCTTTAGCTTCTTCTTCTGGTTTATGAAGGCAGCTTTTGCCTAGTGCTTGAATCTAGCATTCTGTCTTTTTGCTTTTGAATGGCGAACCTCCCCCTACCTATCTGCCTACCTCTCCCCACACCCTCACCTATCTCCCTCTTCCCCTTACCCCAACAATGTTATCTGTTTCCCTCCAAAAAGCAGCAGAGCCCAGGCCAGAAGTGTGTGCTAGTGGCCACTGCAGTCTCAGAGTAGCTCCCCAAAGTTGTCAAGCCTCAGAGATATTTTTTTCTCTTTTTAAATTTTATTTTATTTTATTTTATTTATTTTATTATTTTATTTTATTTTATTTATTTTATTTTATTATTTTATTTTATTTTATTTTATTTTTTATTTTTTATTTTATTGAGACTCACTCTGTTGCCCGGGCTAGAGTGCTGTGGCGTCAGCCTCGCTCACAGCAACCTCAAACTCCTGGGCTAAATCAATCCTCCTGCCTCAGCCTCCCGAGTAGCTGGGACTACAGGCATGTCCACCATGCCCGGCTAATTTTTTCTGTATATATTTTTAGTTGGCCAATTAATTTCTTTCTATTTTTAGTAGAGACAGGGTCTTGCTCTTGTTCAGGTTGGTCTCTAACTCCTGACCTCGAGTGATCCTCCCGCCTCGGCCTCCCAGAGGGCTAGGATTACAGGCGTGAGCCACCGCCCAGCCAAGACATTTTGAAACATACAAAGAAGCATAAAAAAGAAATCATCATGATTCTGTTTCCTAGAGGCCCACAGTTACATTTTGATGTTTCCTTAGGGTGTTTTTCCCATGGATATATTGGGACCATACAGATACATATATTGCTTTTTTCATTTACTATTATATCTTTTACTATTATTTCCCAATGTCATAATTTTTTTTTTAAGACCAATCAAGTGCAGTAGTGAGGAGGGGGGAAAGTAGTAAAACAAGGAGTTTAATCTGTAACTGACTGAACAATCACGTGAGATAACTCACTACCTTCAGACCAGCCATAAATATTTTTGATAATCTGATTTTTTAATTTTTATGTATTTTTTGTAGAGACAAGGTCTTGCTATGTTGTCCAGGCTGGTCTTGGACACCTGGCGACGTCAAACAATCTTCCTGCCTCAGCCTCCTGAGTAGCTGAGATTACAGGCTGAGCCACCGTGCCCAGCTGATAATATGATTTTTAGTATTGCAAAAAAATTAATGACCATATGCCAAGATTCGTCTAATTCCCTATTGTTAGATATTTGTCCTTGCATGTTATTTTTTCCCCTCTGATATCTGATTATTTCCTTATGATACTCTCCTAGAGACAAAATTCCTGAATCACAGGGTTAGACCATTTTCAAAGCACTTAATATATACTGTCCAATCTCAGCTCCTAGCATGAGGCCTATTACATGATAAATACTGAATAAATAATTGTTAGATGAATGAATGAGTTCCCTCCAGAAAAGTTGGCCCAATTTATACTCCCATCAGGAGTATGCAAGAAGAACCTTGTTTTGCTCAGTCCACATCATGAGAGCAGTAATGATTGAAGCAGGATTTTGGTTTCTGTGATTTTGACAATGAAATAATCTATTTGCTTTAAACCTAAATGGAAGTAAAAAGTTGAATCCTCCCTAAATGACATATGGTTTTGCTTTAATAGACTGCTGCTTTTAAACACACTGGGACAAAAATGGAATGAAGAGTTCTGATTATTTTAAGACTAAATCATGAAGTTCCATGATTCCTTCTTTGCATCTCCTTCTATTGGGTCTTGTTCCTAGAAGCCAATCTGTCATGGCTACTTGTCTATTTGGGGTTGTTCACTCCCATTAAGCTTGAGATCTGCAGAGGGGACCCTTTAGATACCATCTAGGCCTTTCTTGTGATGTCAAATTTTGGTGGTGGTGGTGGGATTACCATGAAACTTGGATCTCTTGTCTGTAATGTAGAAATTAAGCAGAGACAAACTCAAGAGCTAAGTTTGTCTTAACCTATTCTGTGAACTGTAGGGGAAGGAAGAAACTGATACTGTTTCACCTTTTATTATGTGCCAAGCCCCTTCCCCATTTACTGTATTCCTCAACCTTTCATACAGATTTATTTCCATTTTGCAGATGGAGAAGTTGATACTCAAATAGGTTGGGTAACTTATTCAAGATCACACAGCTGGTAAATGCCAGAGTGCTGGAGGTCCTGGTCATCTGATTCCAAGTTTAACTCTTCACCATCCTGGAATGCTGCCCTGGGAAAGGGTGGTGTGGTAGAATTTCTGTGTGTGGGGGGGTTCAGGGGAAGGGTGCAGTGGGTGGTGGTGGTGGAGTGGGAAGGATGGAGATGTGGGGTGGTGCCAGGATTGTGGCCTTGTAGTCAGGCAAATTATGGGGCAGATTTGGGGCTGAGAAGTTGACCCCAAGGTTCTCTGGCTCTAGGTTTGAGGTTCTTTGGAGCCAGTACAGTGGGACTGAATACTCCCAAGTCTGAGGAATTTGATTGAAATTTCTGGGGCTTGAAGGCCTGTGGGATAAGCAGAGAGTGGGGGCCATGAGTAGAGGCCAGGAGTCCCTGAATCAGTTCTTAGGGTCCCCAGTTCTTAGAGCTTGGGTCTGAATGGTCTGGGGTCCAAGGCCTCCAACTTTGGGGCCCAGCTCTTAAGTTCTAGGGTCTGAGGAGCCAGGTTCAAGAGTCCCTGTAAAACCTGAATCTGAAAGGCTTGTTTTAGAAATTCTCTGGGTCTGCAGGGCTCAAATTGAGGGTCCCATCCTGAAAGCCCTTTTTTGAGTCTTAGGGTCTTAAGGCCTGGGTGGGGAGAGGTCCAGTTCTAAGGGTTTCAAGTATGACACTCCCAGTTTCTTAGGGCCTGATCTGAAAAGCCCAGTTCTGAGAGGCTTGGTTTGGAAATCTCGACCTGAAGTTTAAGGTGTCCTCGGCTCCCAGGATCCCTGGTGGTGATGGCTTAGGGTGGAGTGTTCCAGGGTCCAAGGCTCAGTGCTAAGAGTACCAGGTCGGCGGTGCAACTGTAAGGATACAGTAAGCGCGGGCCGAGGGCAGCGGTGCGGTGGCAGATAAGGGTAGGTAAGCGGGTGTGGACAGACACGGGACCAACTGCAAAGCGTGGGCGCTAGGACCCCCGGGAGACGGCAGCCTTTTGACAGCGGCGCGGGGGGCGGCGCGTGTTGACAGCGGCGCGGGCGGCCGGCGCTAGGACCCGCGGGCGGCGGCGGCGCTCGGGGCGTGTTGACAGCGGCGCGGGCGGCCGGCGGGAGTCTGCGCCTCTGGTTCCTGCCCGCGACCCGGCGGCCGGCGTCCCGGGATGGCCTTCATGGAGAAGCCGCCGGCCGGCAAGGTGCTGCTGGACGACACGGTGCCGCTGACGGCGGCCATCGAGGCGAGCCAGAGCCTGCAGTCCCACACGGTGCGCGGCGGCGGCGGGCCGGGCGGCGGCGGGCGGCCGGAGGGCTCTGGCGCGGCAGGGGTCTGGTGCGGCCCGGGCCGGCGCACGCCGAGCCTTCCGGAGGGCCCAGGTGCAGCCACAGCCGCGGGCCCGGAGCTGGGAGGTGTGGGTCCGGGCTCACCTGGGCGCGGAGGAGCCAAGAGACGCCGGGGCCTCGCACCACTTGTGCCCGCCGCCAGCCCTCTTTTCGGGCCGGAGTGTCCTCGCTGCGGCTGAAGGCCCGAGCGACTGCAGAGCCCGCCCGTTGGGACGGCAGAGTGGGTGCTGGGGTCCGCACCGTGCCCGCCCGCCTCCGGGCCGCGGCCCGCGGGGAGAGGTGACGAGGCCTCGGGGGTCCTGCGAGGCCGGTGTACGAATGTGCTCCTTCCCGTTTCTAGCCTGCTCCTCAGTGGGCAGTGGTGGCATTCATTTGAGCTTAAAATCCACTGGAGTAGCGTAAAGGAGTAATAGGTCCTCATAGTAAACGCAGATAGAGTCCATTTCTGTTACATACACTGCCTTTTATGGGGCTTTAAAACCATGGTTATTTTCATTTGCCTGTACCTTTTTTTGAAAGGCACACAACACATTATAATTTACAAGCAGTAAACCCAGGAACCTGCAAAAAACCCTGGAGCTGCCAGCCGGTGGGACTTTTTGGAGAAGTAATGAATGGAGAGAGAGATCCCTTAAATTGTAATGTTTTGTTGGGCCACCGAATCAGATTCAGGCTCAGAGGCTTGTTTACCATCACAGTGTGTTTGGGGTTCATGATCTGGAGGCCAAAGCCCCACAATAGCCTTCTGTTTCTCTTTTTGTTCAAGCCCTTCTGGTAACTTCAAAGAGACCTTTCATTCTGTTTTATTAAAGTGGGACTTTTTTTGAACCTCAGTTTCCTCTTCCACGAGCTGCGCTTTGTAGTGCTTGGATTGTTCAAAGTATTCACTTCCAGTTAAGAAAATTATTATCTTTGTAAAAAATGCAATTTATTTCACTGTGTGTGTCTTTAATACTATTCTATAGACATGAGAGTAGGCACATATAGGACACAGTTTATTAAACTTGCTATAATTTGTGCCTAAGGGAGTATGAGTTAAGGGTTGAAATTTAGGATAGGGAGCCAAGAGTAATTCTGCTATTAGATTTTTAAATTATTATGGGTATATAATGGTATATAATCTTTATGGGTACATGTGATGTTTTGATACAGGCATATAATGTGAATTAATCAAATCAGGATAATTGGGGTATCCATCACCTCAGGCATTTATCATTTCTTTGTGTTAGGAGCATTCCAATTTCCACTCTTTTAGTTATTTTAAAGTATACCCTAACTTTGCTATTAGATTTTTGACTTGATTATTGGCAAGTAATTCTTATAACCTTTTAGGGAACAGAGTTGAGTCTATTAGGTTTATTTTGTATTGAAAGTAAAGAGATAGATGGTTATAAATGCTCACAGACCACTTCCTCCAGGAAGCATTCCATGATTTCCACTGCCCCAGGCCATGTGCCTACCCTACATGAATCTTTTTTATTATCTCCCCACCTTAATCTTGATCGGTTTGTTGTGTAATTACTTTATATTTTCTCTCCACTAGGCTGTGAGAGGAGGGACACTTCTTGCTCACTTTTGGGTTCCAGTCCCTGGCATTTGATAGGCTTTCATATGCATCTATTGAGTGAATAAATAGACTGCAATCTTACTATGTCTCCTTTTCTGTTTCTATAAAATAGTAATTGTGAAAATTGGAACAATAACTTTGAGGTCAGTGCTTGAGCTAGATGTGAAAGATGTAAGAGGATTCCATTTTTATTGCAGAACATTTTTTTAAAACAAAATAGTTTAGGATAGAAAAATGGCAGTTCTTATGATGACTGAACACAAAGACAATGACTCACAGGAGACCCATAGAGGCAGATGTGGTGGAGTGAAAAAAAAAAAAAGTAACATTGTCTTACATAATTTTTAACTATTCTATGTTCCTGTCATTTTAGCTGTAGAATTTGAGGCTGAGAAATGTTACATCAACCCTGGACTTTATTGAGAAAAATCATATGCTGATGTAAACTTTTTGGACTATTAGTGTCTTATGAGTAAATCTTTTTAAAACAGGAACTGTTGGAAATTATTTTGGAAAGAAGTAGTTGTTAAGAGTGGCATGTGAAAGAGAAAGGCATTGTTTTCTATTGGAAAGATTGAGATGGCTTTCCAGCTTGTTAGCTGAAGGAAGATGGTGTCCAAAAAGTCAGAGATCTACCCTCCCTTTGAAATGCCATGTCTCTAGGAAGTTGTTCCTTGGCTGTACACAGGGTGGGAGTATGTAATAGACATCTTTGGATTAGTAGACACAAGGCCTTGATACAGGCAGATACTTGTTAGTCATGTGACATTGGCTGGGCAAGTCACTTAAACCTTTTTGATGTTTAGTTTTGTCGTCTGTAAATGTGAGTAATAAATGCCTGTCCTGTCTCCCAAGGTTGTTGCAAAGATCAAATGAACTAATCTTTATGAACTATTTGTAAAGTACATTCCTTCGTTATTCCATCTCTTCACTCTCTGACATTTGTGAAAGGGTTAAACACATTAAGTATATCATTGCAAATAAGCTCATTTCTGTTCATAGTTCCTTTCATTTATCAAGGTTGTTTAGCCTTGGGAAACAGAATTTAGAGCAGAAAACGATTTAAGTTTTATGAACTTGGTAGGGAAAAATTCTGTGGATTGGAAACCACAGATGCCAGAAGGATGAAGGAAACACAAGGTCACCACCAGAAAGACATATTGGGATGAGGCACTTACTGCTGTGTTGGTAGTTGACTCAGTGCCTAGCTGTGGTTTGAATGATTTTGTTTTCATTTTTATTGAGCACAATGAGTTTAGCTTTAGGAGATAGACTAGGCCTCTGCTGTAAGGATATGAAGCTTCCATAAAACCAGAAAGGCTGGTATTTAGGGAGAGGATATTTTCAGGTTGGGGGTCAGAGGAAGGGGGAATTTTCCAAACAAAAGGAATTCTGGTAAGAAGTCACACAGGTGAATTGTGAGAAAATTTGGGAGGACTAAGAGAAGACCAGGGAATGTAAGTTCTTGGCTCCATGAAAGTGTAAACTTTTAAAAGTCACTAGACTAAGAAAAAAAATGCTTACCTAGCTGAAATAGAAACCAGAGGAAACTGACAGTTTTGGAATGGGTTGTTATCAAATATTTTTGCTGGTTAGTATGCTGTTTGTGATAGTTTTTTTTTTTTTCCCTGTAGAGACAGGGTCTCATTATGTTGCCCAGGCTGGTCTCAAACTCGTGGCCTCAAGAAATCCTCCTGTCTTGGCCTCCCAAAGTCTGATATTACAGGTGTGAGCCACTGTGTCCTGCCTTGTGATAGCTTTTCATCTCAGTTTTCTCTTTTTAAAATAATCTTCTATGGGGGTTATCTGGATCAGGCATCATTTATCCTCCATTTGGTGCATTTTGTTCTTAAGAAACAACAGATAATTTTAGTGATAGTTGAGGCATAACAGAATATTTTAAAACTCTGTGGAAAAGAATATTACCTTTAAAATCTTTACTGAAAATGAATCTCCTCTTGAACTTTTGATTTTTGGAAACTGCATTCCTGCATAGTTTATTTATTCAACTATGCTCATTAATTCCACAAAAACATACATGTGCCTACCATGTTCCAGGCACATGCTGGAGACGGAGCGATGAACTTGAAGGCTCCTGCCTTTACAGAGCTTTTGCTCTGTCAGATTCTGAGGTCTTCTGCTTTCCAAGGTGTGTACAAATCAACCAGGATCTTTACCTGTCACAACACAGATAGTTTCAGTGGCTTAGTTTATTGAGCTTCAGCTTCTTAATCAGTGACCTTTTTTTATAGAGTTTTAAACTGTAGTTATATATATCACCAGAATACTTATTGAAATGTGATGCCAAATTAGGAGACATCATTGACTTCAGATCCTAAAATTTTAAGGGTGATTCTGTACTCAATGTCAGAATCCATCTGGACTTCCTTTTGGAATGCTATTTGGAAGTTTCTTTAGAATTCCAAGCTATATTATTACTTTAATAAATTCTTTGAAGATGTTTGCATAGACAAATGCAGACTGTACTAAAGTTAGCTTGCAGCACTTCCACACACTATAATAAGATAATAATATTTTCTGGGACTCTAATCACTCGTTTTCTAGGTGGTTATGTATTTTTCCCCACTTGTCCTGAAAACCTGAGGTGAATGCAGTCAGAAAACCCTGAGATGGAAGCCTTTAGAGACTGGTAATTTGTTCATTTGGAGATTGTAAGTAGTATCTTCCTGATGAAGAAGCTGATTTTTTGCAGCCTAATTTAGGGGCTGTTGATACACAGTCCTCATATATCACCTCTTGTGAGGATTATCCCATGAGAAAGGTTTCTTCTAATAGGAATAAAAATCCAAGTACTTGGCTGTAATTACTAGGAGGAAATGTAAGATTCTGGGGCTGAAGTTTTATTTTATATGAAAAGAGAGACAAGATAGTTACCTGCTTTGCTTCCCTTGGGAATAGCAGAAATAGCCAACCATGTATACATAGCTTCCATGTGGACTGTCATCTTGACATTGTTCAAAATATAGATTGCTGATTGAGGGTTTAAATGGGTTCATTCAGAGCAAGTAAAATAAACCTTCTGTTCTTCACTGCAGGGCAGGCAGTGGTTCCTTTACAAGCTGCTAGAGGTTTGGGGGCAGCTTCATAAGAAATGAAGCTCCTTTATGTTCCAACTTTTGGCATCCTGAGAAAATGGGAGCTGGACCTCAACATTGTTTTAGAACTCATAAGTGTTTAGATGTTTGAGGGTGTAGGGGGGTAATAATAGACTTTTTCTATTGTTTTTTTCCCTTAAGCTGGAAGTCATTCCTTTTTTTTTTTTTTTTTTTTTTTGAGACAGAGTCTTGCTCTGTTGCCTGGCTAGAGTGCCGTGACATCAGCCTAACTCACAGCAAC